GAGGATCATCTAAGAAAATTAAGCACTGAAATGGAGATAAAGAACAATTACATAACAATTGAAAACTTCATCTACAAAGTACTTAGAAACAGTCATATGGGGAAAAAAACCAAAATCTTTTTTTTTTTATTTTTTTTAAATTTCAGAATATTATGGGGGTACAAATGTTTAGGTTACATATATTGCCCTTGCCCCACCTGAGTCAGAGCTTCAAGCGTGTTTATCCCCCAGACGGTGCAAAATCTTTATTCCTATCTCACACGATATACAAAAATTTAAACTGAGGTCCATCATAGACCTAAACATAAAACCTATTACTATATAGTTTTTAGAAGAAAATATAGCAGAATATCTTTGCAACCATGAGGCTGGCAAAGAATTTCTTAGATGGAACTCCAAAATGGAAAATTGGATTCTTCAAAAATAAAAACTTATGCTTATCAAGAGACACACTAAAAAAATGAAAAGATAAACCAAAGTCTAGGAGAAAATATTCCTCACATATATATCTGACAAATGACTTCTATTAAAATCATGATGAAAGCCGGGTCCAGAGGCATGCATGTGCCTGTAGTCCCAACTACCTGGGAGGCTAAAGCAAGAGGACTGCTTGAGCCCAGGAGTTTAAGGCTGTGGTGTGCTATGATCATGCCTATGAATAGCCTCTGCATTCCAGCCTGGGCAACACAGTGAGATCTCATCTCTTTGAAAAATTGGGGGAAAAAAAGAAAGAAAAGAAAAAATAACAATGAAAATATCACTTTACGCCACTTGAAGGAATAATATTAAGAAGACAGATAACATCAAATGTTGGCAAAATGCAGAACAATTGGAATGCTCAGAATTGCTGGTTAGACGGTAAAATGGTACCATAACATTGTAAAAGTTTGGCAGTTTCTTACCAAGTTAAACATATGTCTTATAATTTAGTTATTCCACTCTAAGGTATTTACCGGACAGAAATAAAAACATCTGTCTACAAAAAGCATTGTACAAGAATGTTCAGAGCAGCCTTGTTCTTTATGGCCAATAACCAGACACAACCCAAATGTCCATCAGTAGAAGAATGGATAAACAGTGATATATCTGTAAAATGAAATGCTACTCAGCAATAAAAAGGAATCAGTTACTGATTCACCCAAGACCATAGATACATATCACAGATACTATCCTGAGTGAAAAAAGCTAAAAACAAAAGAATATGTGCTATGAGGTCCCATTTTTACAAAGTTCAAGCCCTAGCAAAACTAATCTATGGCGACAGAAATCAAAACAATGATTGTCTTGGGAGCAGGAGGTTGAGTGCAAAGGGCACAAAGGAATTTTCTGAGATGAAAACACAGGTGTTGGTTACATGGGTATTTATATTGTTAAAACTCACTGATATGTATATTTAAGACATGTGTATTTTACTATATTAAATTATTACTCAATTAAAAGAAAAAGAATTGAAATAGAAAAGGATTCAAAAGAAAGTGACAAATACAGAAGATGGGCAAAAAAGGACAAGGCCCCCAAAGAAAGAAAAATAAAGCAAGGAAAGAAAACAGAAACTAAAATTCAAGAAAACCTTAATGAGGCAGTAATATTTTTGGTATGTCTGAGAACCAGCAAGAAGGCCAGTGACATTTGAAGGACGTGAATAGGAACAAAGAGATGCAGTGAGGTTATGGAAAGGCCAGATCATATATAACCTTATAGGCTACTGAATTTCAGGACTTAGAATTTTATTTGAAATTTATTTGGGAGGTACTGGAGGTTGAAAGGGAGTGACATCTTATGCAGGTTTCCAAAGAATGATTCTCAACTGCTGTGTGTACAACTTTAGAAGGAAAATAAGCAGGCATAAATATGACACAAATATTCTTACTAAGTGGTCTAAATGTGTTAACAAAAAAACCCAGGAAAATAAAATTTAATAGCATATCAGCCTAAGATACTTGTGTAATTAGTTCTAATAAAAGCACAAAAAGCTAAGAATGTTTCTTACTTTCCAAATACCCAAACCAAATATTTAATATCTAAAAGGTAGCCTAAAGGTAGCCTACCTACACCACCTAAGAATTTTAATTTAGTTGATTAAACAGCAGACATGTCGTCTGGTAGGCCTCCCTACCAGATAATCGCTTCTATTTCTTCCCGGGGGGGTCCATTTCTTTGGTTTTCCTTACTGTGCCTAGCACAGTACAAAACAGAGCAACAGCCTAATAAGACTTTACAATACATGAAAGCTAAAAGTTGTATTTATTTATTTTTAGAATGCTGTCTATGAATATTCTACCTATTCCCCACAAGAAATAAAGCTTGTTCAGTTAGTTCTGATGCAGAAAAAGATACTTATACCTGTCTTTCTCTGATCCCGGAACAGTACCCGTATTGGTGGATCCAGGCACAGAAGCAATAGGGGTGCCAACAGTTCGAAGATTCTGAATTACAGATGACAAAAACTGCTGGCTAGCACTTTCGTACAAATCAAAACAAATCTGATAAGCCATCAGAAGGTTGTCTTCCTTTACCAGTTTTTCTAAGATATCACTCACAGCCTGAGGATCATCTAAGAAAATTAAGCACTGAAATGGAGATAAAGAACAATTACATAACAATCGAAAACTTCATCTACAAAGTACTTAGAAACAGTCAACAATATAGGAAACCTTAAAATATAAGCAGAGGCAAACTAGGGCAGACTAACTTTCTAGGCTAGCACTCTGCTTCTAAACTGAGCACTAAGTGAAATTTTCCTGCAAACAGTCATCTGCTTTCCATAAAAAAATCCATACAAATTATATGCACGGCTCTTAATATTATGCCTGGTAATTAGCATATAGTATTTAGTACTGGTTGCTGAATTAATCTTGGCTTCTTTAAACCTTATTCGTAACTTACTAAGTGCTCTTTAACTTGTATTTTCCGCCTTACCATATTATGGGAGTTATTGATTCATTTAACATATACAGTATTGTACTGGACACAATACTATATGTATTAAATATATAGTATACTTAATAGGACAAGAGACATTAAAATTATGATTTTGAAGCATTTCTCTTACTATTCTTATGATTTGCCATATGTTTTAACAAAATTATCCTAAAAGGTTAGAATTTTTTCTTTAAGAACTCAATTTAAATTTTCTTGGCTGGGTGCGGTGGCTCACGCCTGTAATCCTAGCACTCTGGGAGGCCTGAGGTGGGAGGATTGCTTGAGCTCAGGAGTTTGAGACCAGCTCTGAGCAAGAGTGAGATCCTATCTCTACTAAAAATAGAAAAATCAGCCGTGAGTGGTGGCATGCACCTGTAGGCCCAGCTACTCAGAAGGCTGAGGCAGGAGGATTGCTTGAGCCCAGGAGTTTGAGGTTGCTGTGAGCTAGGCTGACGCCACAGCACTCTAGCCCAGGCAACAGAGAGAAACTCTGTCTCAAATAAATAAATAAATAAACAGATAGATAGATAGATAAATTTTCTTGTTCCCTTAGGGCAGCAATTAACTCAATTTCAAAATAAACACATTAATCAAAGTTATTATAATTTAGAACAGGAAATAATGGAAACAAAAATAAATGACAAAATATAGGGGAATGATTAAATAAGGCAAAGTACATGAACTGAATGACTACTGCACAATCAAGAAAGAGCTCAAGAGCTAGTAAAGAGTTAGAAAATGGAAAAATGTTAAGTTGAAGGCTACATATAATTGATACTGTTTGTCTCCAGGGAAGAAAACTTGGTAGCTGGAGAGAAGGAATAGAAAGAAGACTTTTCACTGTATACTGTATGGTTGTTTTTGAATTTTAAATCATGTGACTATATCACCTGTTCAAAAAATATATTTGTTAAATGTACAATAAATTTTTTAAAAATTATAAAAGGACTGGAATAAAATAGCTAAAAGAAATAAAATTGCCTCTAAACTACTAATAAACAATATTTTTCATATGAGTTTTTAAAAACTATTAAAAATTATATAGAAACAAAACTCCAAAAACCTATATAGAGAAAATTGAAAGGAAATATACTGTTAAATGTGAAATTGACTTTGGGTGCTATAAAAAATCAACTTAAAAATATTAATTAAAATCTTGACTTTGAGTGATTTAAATACAGGTTTTTTTTTCAGCATTTTCTGTTTCAAACTTGCTTCAAAAAGCACTGTAAAAAACAGTGCTTAAATCTAAATTTTTTTAATGAAAACACATTAGAGTATATTATAGTGAAGAAATAACAAAACAATAAAATGCTATGTTCTAAGCAGAACACAAAAACGTATACAGTATAGTAATTGTTAAAAAGCAAACCTAAGCACACCTCCAATCAATAAATTACAATACAGCTATTAAAAGAATGCAGTAGATCTACATGTGCCAATAAGTGGGGAAAAACATCTATGCATTACCTTTGGAAAAAGGCTCAGGTGAAGAGAAAAGGAAAGACTTAATTTCTCATTTAATATATTTTCTGTACCATCTGAATTTTTTCTATGTGTAAGCAAATTCATACACTTACACGCGATAAAGAAAATATACCCAAATGTTTTGGGTGTGTTTAGGTAATGAAACCATTGATAGTTTCTACACTTTGAATTCTTTTTAGAATGACACAGTATAGCATAGGTATTGTTTTTATCTTTCCTTCTACCATTTTTTTTGAACCTTCTTTGTTTCTAAAATTTCTTTAAATTTTGTTTGTATTAGTTTCAAAATGAAAAAAGAATAAACAGAAAGAATGCATTATAACAAAATAGCTTTTAGTGTCAAGAGATTCAGTTTCTTATCAGTAAAAAGGAATATAAATCCCATACCTTATCTTCACAGGGCTGTTGAAAAGATTAATTGAGATACATGTAGGAAGCCACCATAGTAATGTAATAAAATGTTAACATATAAGTAATATGGTGTCACGTACGTAGCCCAGCACAGTGTAATGTGATGTAATATAATATAATTACCTGGCAAACATTGATAAAATCAGGTTTCTCCAAATTCATGTAGATTTTAACTAGAACTCTTAGTACTTTATTCCGAAACTGTTTATTCTGCATTAAAGACATGCAGAGCTTGAGGCTATAAGCCAGCATTCCTGGAACATCATTCTGAAAGACATAATTTAAAGATATATCATTATCCAGTTATTGAAGCATTACATTTATTTAGAAATTGAATTATTTTAATCTAGCTTCTTTAGTCAATCTAGGCAACCTTTAATAAAACTTTAAATTAATAAAAATTTTTTGGTCTTTCTGACACTAAGCCCCGGAGTCTTACCATTATATCAGGTCATTAAATATGAAATGTCTGATTCAAATCAAAAGTGTAGTTTATTATATCTCAAACAAGAAGCAGTACAATTAATCAAAGCATATGCCTAAACTATCCACACAGTTTTGCCATCTTAATGGTACTTTGCTTATGCCAGCAGCGAAGAAGCCTGGAGAACGAGTGGTGATAAAATTGTGAGAATTTCAGCTTGTTGAGAAGTGAATATTTTTCCTTGCAAGAAGTGTTCCAAAGGCTGGAAGAAGTGATAGTTGGTGCAAGGTCTGGTGAATATGGTGCATGACAGAGAGTTTCCAAGTCCAGCCTCTGTAGTTTGAGAAGTGTTGTTTTTTGCGACATGTGGTCTTGCAGGAGGATTGGCCTGTCTCTATTGACCAATCTCAGTTGCTTAATCACAAGCATCCTCATCATTTTGTCCAACTGGTTGCAGTAGACATCTGCCACTGTAATCGACCAGTTTTCATAAAGCTGTAGTGGATAATACCAACACTGGACCACCAAACAGACACCATTAGCTTTTTTTGATGAATATTCAGTTTCGGACTTTGTTTCAGCACTTCATCTTTATCCAACCATTGTGCCAAATGCTTGCAATTGTCAAAAATTTTCATCACACATAACAATACGGTGTAGAAATGGTTTGTCTTTATGTCATGACACAAAGAAGGCAAGCTTCAAGATAATTTCACTTCTGATGCTCATTTAATTCATGCGGTACCCATCTATTCAGCTTCTTTACTTTGCCCATTTGTTTCAAATGGTCCAATATTGTTGGAATGGTAACATCAAACCTTGCTGCTAATTCACACATAGGTTAAGATGGATTTGTTTCCACTACAGATTACAGCTCATCACTATCCACCTTGCTCTCAGGTCACCCATATGGCTCATTTTCAAGATTAAAATCACCAGAGTGGAACCTCTCAAACCATGGATGTACTGTGCGTTTTTCAGCCACATCCTTTCCAAACATTTTGTTGATATTTCCAGCTATCTGTGCTGCACTGGTTCCATGATGGAACTCATATTCAAAAATAAAACGAATTTTTGACTTATCCATGGTTTCATTTTAGAGCAAAAATTGCTCTAAAAAAATCTGAGAGATAATCAAAAGCCAAAACCTGCATTTGAAAGGATGAAGATGTACCTTCACAATAATTAAAAAAAAAATAAAATGAAGTGTCAAAGTGAAATGTCAGAGATATCAACTGTCAAACTTAGTACTTAAAAAAGTCAGACATTCCATACTTAATAACCCAATATAATGATGTAATCTGAGTGGCACTGGCTATAAAAAGATAGGTATAACTGTCCATATACTAAGTGGCTATGCTTTTCAACTGTGTCTATTGAAGTCTTTCTGCTTCCTACCTAGCTACTAGACTCCCTCATGACTTACTGCCTATACTCACTCCCTGACCAGGAAACAAAATGTATAGAACTATTCAGGTCTGAGTGATTCTAACATTGAGTGCTGTTACATCTGTCTGGTGCTCTCCTTGTGAGGAAACTTTGATGTATGTGTTTACCTTGTGGCTCTCAAAAGCATGCCTAATATTTGAGATATCACCTTATAAGAGTCCTTTAACATAAATAAGCATACCGAAAAGCTACAGGACTGTTTCTCAAAAAGCAAGCTGTGACTTACCACTGTGCAATAAAATCAATGGGGTGTAACTAGCTAATTTTCTTTTAAAAAATGAAATACAATTTAAAAATGTCAGAGTTATATCACAAGTAGTAAGGGTATGTATTGTTTCATAAAACTTAAGTTTGTATCTCTATGCATATGTGCACTGAGATGCATTTCTTACTCTGCTTTATTTCTTTAAATACATTTATCACCACTTTACCTTGTATATTTGTTTGACTACTTTTTTCTCCTCTAGGTTCTCCTAATGGACTGTTTGATTTTGGTAGGAACTTTGTTGGGTCTCGTTTGCCACTACAGTAGTCCCCCCTTATCCCAGGGGGATACATTCCAAGACCTCCAGTGGATGTCTGAAACTATGGATAGTATTGAACCCTATAGATACAATGCACGCATTTCTTTTTCCTTCTTGACAGTGTCACAGAGGATTCATTCTTACTGTAGATCTTAGCAACCTCAGCATACAATTTTTTTCTTTCCTTATTAAGTTGAGAACTTTCACTTTTTCACTTAAAGGAAGCACCTTAAGGCTTCTCTTTAGCATATCTGAATTGCAGGCATCACTCTCTTCTGCTTTGGGGCCATTATTAAGTTAAATAAGGGTTACTTGAACACAAACACTGTGGTACTGTGACAGTCCATCTGATAAGTGAGACAGCTACTTAAGTGACTAATGGGCAGGTAATATATACAGCATGGATATGATAGACAAAGAGATGATTCATGTCCTGGGCAGGATGGAAGGAGATGGAGAGAGATTTCATCATACTACTCAGAACAGTGCACAATTTAAAACTTACGAATTGTTTATTTCCAGAATTTTCCATCTACCATTTTCAGACTACAGTTGACTAAAGATAACTGAAACCAAGGAAAGCAAAACCATGGAAAGGGGGATAACAGGGGAATACTAGGTATCTCTAATGTCTAGAACAATGGGACATAGCAGGCATTTAAAATATATTTGTTGAATGAATGAAAATAAATATTTTAATCTTATTCACATAAAGACAAAAAGAGGCTACAACTGCACAAAAATGAAACTGAGAGTGAAACAAGGGCCATTCTATCACATTAGGTCATTCGTTCATTTATTCATTAAAAAAAACTTACTATTATTGCTAAATACTGACTCAGGCTTTAGGGATGGATATACAGTGGCGAAAAAGGCACAAAGCATCTGTGCTGATGGAGCTTATAATCTCGTGGGAAGGACAGATGTAACCACCTACTAATACAAATAATTAACAAGTGATAAACACAACAAAAAAATATTCAGGCTCCATGAAATTAACATAAGAAACTGGACCTAATCTTTGCAGTAGGGGCTGAGGAGGATATGGGTGTAGGGGGTTGACAGAAGCTCTGCAAATTAGTGACAGGTGAGCTGAGATCTGAATCATGAACAGGAATGAAGTAGGTAAAGAAAGGAATGGAAAAAATATTTTTGGCAGAGTACATCTAGGAGATAAGAAGCAGCCAAAATGGCCGGAGCGCAGAGTGCTAGCTCTTAGAGACAGGTGGGGAGGCAAAGTGAGCCTGCAGACCAACGTCCATTTAACTCAGCCTTGCACCTTTCTGACTACTTTGTTGTTAAGTCCCCTGTCTTAATTATTATAATTAAACACAACTGTCTTAATTATTGCAAAACAACCCCAAACCATCAATCTAGTTTGTAATTTTAACTATGATAAATGCATTAAAATAGTAGTTTATCAATATGGCCTTCTTAAATAGAGCAGGGTAATTAATACAACTTCCCCATGCAAGATTTCAAAGGAATAAAGAAATGTAGTAAGATAAAAAAACAGATAGTCTATGAACACAAAACAGCCAAGGTTCACATATAAATATAAAAATAAAATAACTAGCAAAAGAGTACCTTATTATTTCTAAACTAGATTTTCTTTTCACTACTAATGAGATTTTCAATTTGAATAATTTGTTTTGCTGATTCTTCATCAATAACAATCTCTAAATTAACAGCTACCTACCGATTCCAGTATGGTCTTTTCAAACACATCCAGTCTTCGTGTCTCCAGAGCAATGCCGACAGCCTGCTTATACTTGTGATCATCCAGACATCGCTGGAACATTTTATTCACAATGCCTTCCAATCTCTGGTCAATTGGTTTTTTTTCTCCTTCAGGCAAATCTGCATTTTCCACACACTGTTTCGTATAGTGATCAATGCATTTTGCTATGGAGAAAATAAAATAACTAATTACCTTATACACTGGACTGAACTACCAGAAAGTACAATGCCTGCATTTACAATCATGTATAACTTATGGGATGACTATAAAGCCATAAGCAAATTTTAAAATGCTAGAACTTATACATTCAAATTAATATTATTTTCTTCATTATGTTACACTATACACTAATTCCAATAAGGCTGATGTTATTCAAAACATTTTTCAGCTGGGTGCAGTGGTATGTGCCCATAGTCCTAGATACATGGGAAGCTGAGGCAGAATTAATTGCTTGAGCCCAGAAATTCAAGACCAGTCTAGGAAACAGGGTAAGACCCTGTCTCTTAAAATAAATAAATAAATAAAATAAAATTCTGTCTTGTTACTTAATTTTGACCAAAATTATATTACTCTACCTGATTAAGCCACTTATTTAAAAGAGTTGGCTACAAAATAGCTGCTGTCTCACTTTCAAAAACCAAACACCTGCCACTATTGAGGATATTATAGCAATGATTACATACCAGTATATTGGACTTCTTCACATTAATGAAACTATTAGCACCTTCAGAGTAAAGACTGTGTCTAAATCATCTTTGCAAAACAACAGTGAAATGACATAAAATGTGTCAGAGGTTTGAAAGGCAATTTCAAAGATTTCCAAAAACTTTTCCAGGAATTGTAGAAGAGTCGAAATAATAGTCATGTATTGCTTAACAAAAGAGATACATTCTGGGAAATGCATTGTTAGGTGATTTCATCATTGTGTGAACATGATAGAGGGTATTTACACAAACCCTAGATGATATATACCCTACTACACACCTAGGCTATATAGTATGGCCTATTGCTCTTAGGCTACAGACCTGTACAGCATGTTATTGTACTGAATACTGTAGGCAATTGTAACACAACAGTATTTGTGTATCCAAACATAGAAATGGTACAGTAAAAATATGGTATTATAATTTTATGGGACCACCATTGTCATTGATCGAAACATCATTATGCAGCGCCATGACTATATTCATTGCCTCAGTGTGACGTGGGTAGAACCTATTTCCCCCAAGAGGGTGTCTGAAAATTCATGCAATAGTATATGTGCACAATTTGGCGTCCACATTTCACAATTATTTGGGTTGATGGGGAAGGGGAGTGACATACTGAAGGGCATCAATAGCATGCTTGATGAGAAACATTAATTTGCTTGCAACTTCTATTTCTCTGCAATCACATCTTAAACTTTCTAGGTACAACCAAAAGAGAACACTTCCCGAAGCCTTCCACATTCATAAAGATGATAAATAGCCACCCAAGAGGAATGACATATACACTCGTTATTCCCTCTATGACTCACTGGCTTGTCTCTCTCCCTTTTAAAGAGAAGGGGATTAGGGTAAGTTTAGTTAGTTGCAAACTATAGCCCCAATAAACAAAAATAATTTGAACTAGCATAAAGGATTGCTGGCCCACTAGATGATTCAGGTTAACTGTGTCTGTATTTTGAAGGAAGCAGAGGATTGTTATAAACTGGAATACACCACGTTCAGAGTCCATTCAGGAAGAACCATGAAGATTCAGTTACAGTTAATAAGAACAAAGTGGCAGTCACAAAATAGACCTTAAACAATTACAGTTGTAGAGAATTTTCACCAGGCTCTAATAGGAGCTTTTTGAACCAACTACAGTTAAGTGAGAAAACATTACTCCTACCCCATCAAAGAGGAACCTCAGAATTAGAACATTTGCAGAATTTTCCTTAGATTACATAACTGTGGGGGAAAAAAATGTACCTCCTAGGTTTCAAATGAGATTCATGCTCTCATTCATCAGGTTTATGTTTATGTCATAACTATATTCCAGGTTTATGTTTTAACTAAAACCCAGACTCCAGCCTGATTCCCAGCTGAAGTTTCATCGTAACTGAGAGATTCATATACTGTCTTAAATTTTCTAGAGGTACTGTTTATTATATTAAGATGCTAGCAAGCCTTTTCCAAATTCTATTTTGTATACCCCCTCACAAATCTCACTGATGTTTTTAAAAATGTACCCTACAAAACTAGAAGAATCCCACCTCTACACAAAGAAAAGCAAACAGAACTGGTCTACTGATCAATACTCAACTTCCACAAGCTAAGATGACACAGTGTTTAGAGACAGGGAAGGCATCTATCACCTCATAGAACTTTATACCAACAGTCCTGTTTAAAAGCACAATTTATAAAAAAGTGGCATTGTAAGTCCTTGCAGATCACTGGTGGAAAAAAATTATCAACATTCATCAAAAAAAAAAAATCATCAAATAACAGAAAAGAGATAAATAAGCATATTTAATCCCTCATTTCTAGCTTACCGTAAAGAAAGTGCACTCTGGTTTCAAATGATATGGTCTACCATTTAAAACCATCACTTCTTCCTATAGGATTCAGATAAAAAGCCCAATTCAATGAGCAATAAAGGCCAGGCGCGGTGGCTCACGCCTGTAATCCTAGCTCTCTGGGAGGCCGAGGCGGGCGGATTGTTTGAGCTTAGGAGTTCGAAACCAGCCTGAGCAAGAGCGAGACCCCGTCTCTACTAAAATTAGAAAGAAATTAATTGGACAACTAAAAATATATAGAAAAAATTAGCCGGGCATGGTGGCACACCTGTAGTCCCAGTTACTTGGGAGGCTGAGGCAGGAGGATCACTTGAGCCCAGGAGTTTGAGGTTGCAGTGAGATGTGATGGCGCCACTGCACTCTAGCCTAGGCAACAGAGTGAGACCCTATCTTGAAAAGAATAATAGTAATAAAGAAACCAATGAGAAAACAATGGTAACTAGTAGAAATAGTATGGGTTTTGGTGCAAGTAAACCTGGTTTTAAATTCTGACACTCCTATGTAATAGTCATATATCTTTATTATCTCAAAACCCAAGTTTTCTCATTTATAAAACAGGGCTAGCTCCTTCTTTACAGGGTAGTTGTGAAATAAACCATGGTATCTATCATGACTAGCATGCTGCCTAACACAATGCAGATATTGAATAATGGTTTCTTGTATGACGAACTCTGTAAATTAGTTATCATTTAACTTCTGTCACTCATAATAACCTTTTCATCTAACAGTATGCTCACTGGACTAGAGATAAAAACGACTGCTAAGAAAACTAGCACTTAGTTGGAAGGCAGATCTAAAAACTCAGACTGCATAAAATTATTAGAGAAAGATTATGAACTTCCAGTTAAAATGAAATCTGGCAACATCCAATTCAGGGTGGAAAAATGCTTTATACACTAGAGTAAGAAAGAAGCCGATAAGATAAAGCCTTACCAGAGAGAAAATAATTACCTATAATAGTCTCCACATATTCAGAGTTATCATTGACATTGAAGAGGTCACCTGCTCCAAGAGCGTAATTCAGAGACTCCTCAAAAGCCCCCAGGTGATAAAATACTTTAGATGCCACTAAGGCTGCAAACTGCCGACTCCGGAAACCTTCATCTTCGTACAAAACTTCTCTGAAAGAAATTAGGAAGTATAGGCCTAGTTTAAACTGTAGTTTTCCTTTAAACTCCCAAATTTAAATATTCGAGCCACAATTTAGTAGCAGCAAATTTCTAAATGAATTAATAAGCCACAAGATCCACATCCACAGAGAATTGAAGTTGACCTTATTCCAATTTATAGAAATAAAGTGATTTCTTACATTTTGTCTACAGACTCAGAAATCTCTGCCCAGAAGTCATTGACAACTGCATTCAATTTGTGTAGTGCAAATTCCTGTAGAAGATAAAACCAAAATTCTATTTTGAGATGGACTTACCATTACATTTCCTTTAAAAAAAAAAAGTTCCCAACAAATCAATGGCCAAATCATCAATAGTCACTAGAACTTTTAATCTATGACAAATATAAAAATTTAGTGACATTTTTTCCTGGGTTTACATATTTTCTGTTTTCAATGATAAAACATCAGACTAACCATATAATGTCACTCCTTTTCACAATGAACATTTTTTTTCTTTAAATATATAAGATGATTCCATATTGCTAATTCAGATGTAAATGAAATTCAGGTATTTAGAGCCATCTCTAAGTGCATTCCAAATTTTCATCAAATGCAAATAACTTTAAATAGGTGAAACAGAAGAAACAACTTTTCGTGCTTTTTGCTGATAAAGAAACTAGGGGGTTATTCAGTGCCATATTGGGGTTTACTTGCCTTAGCTTTATTATACTCAACAGAAACTAACTGCTATTGTGAAAATACTGTCTTCTCTGGTTAGACTTCAATGACTGGGGACAGGCTGGGTAGGAAGGCTACTTTAAATGATGGAAGATATATAGATATCACTAAATTCAAAAAGCTACACGGTATTCATACTAAGCCTAGTTACTTTTTATTTAACTCATACCTTAAGCTGTGGTTCTTCTTCATCCAGAAGAGAAATAATTCCAGCTACAAGACAAAAGGTATATCATGATTATGAAGTATATGCTCACTAAGATGGAAATGAACACTTGGTCAAAAATATATGATGGGGCCAGGCACGGTGGCTCATGCCTGTAATCCTAGCACTTTGGAAAGCTGAGGCGGGAGGACTGCTTAAGCTCAAGAGTTCAAGACCAGCCTGAGCAAGAGTGAGACCCTGTCCCCACAAAACATAGAAAAATTAGCCAGGTGTGATGAAGTGTGCCTGTAGTCCTGCTACTAGGGAGGCGAAGGTAGGAGAATCACTTGAGCCCAGGAGTTTAAGGTTGCAGAGAGCTATGATAAGGGTACTGCACTCTACCCTAGGTGACACAGTGGGTAAAAAAAAAAAGATGGAAAAAAATAAGTGTTTTTTGAGGAGTGATTTCCCTAGGGGAGTGATTATTTTTCTTTAAAACTGTAAAGGTTATCAAACCTTCATGATACCATACATATCATATCATTTGCCTAATTCAATGGTTTTCATAGTGTGGTTTCTGGGTCAACAGCATTGGCATTACCTGGAAACTTGTTAGAAATGCAAATTCTCATTTCTCTACCAGACCTATGGAATCAGAAATTATGGGGAGGGAGCCCAGTAACAGGGCCACAAGCCCTACCTGTGATTCTTTGGCTCACTACAGTTTGAGAACCACTATCCTAATTTATTGACCAAAATGGCAAACTTTCCCATACAATTTTAGAATAAAACTATTCATACAAAATAAATCAAGTCATAAAATTATTTATGTAAAAAAGGGGCATTTAATTATCAACTCAAAAGGGTAAAATAGTTCAGTTATTAGAAGGTGCCTATATTAAGGCACCTCCTTCCTATCAAAGTAACCTAGAATGTTTTACTAAATGATGAGCAATCTTACTCATTTTGAATTCCAATTACCAAAGCACGGTGTTCCCCATCTGTCTTCTCTTAGCATCAAGGTGTTACCATTAACATAGGAGGGTAAAAGAAATAACCATCCTCTCCAAAAGGACATATCTTAAAATGTAGTCATATGTTAAAGGGATTATTAGAAAAAAAGATATGGGAAGTTACTGTCCTTAGACCACAAAGGAAACCAAACTGTCTGTCAAATATGTTTTCCATGTGGGTCTTAAAAGCATTCTGGAACACTGAGTTGAAACTGTGATTTGATTATAAAATGTCAAGGCAGCTTTAGTTAGGAGATGTGGCCATTTCTAATCAATAATTGTAGGTTTGTCAATTAAGGAGTCTTTACGGAGCCATACAGGAAAGGATACAAAATTTACCAAGCAAGACTAGCATACTACTATTGCAAAAGCATATAAAAAGAACTTCTTGGTACTCTAGGTTGATATGACAAGACCAGAACAGAGAGGCTAATCGAAAACATAAAGAACAGATAAATTTAAAAATTCAATCAGTAAAAAGAAAATGTGCAAACTAGTGGTGTGGATTAGATGACAGACCAGAGTGTTGTAAATGTAGAACAGATCATAAAAAACAGAACATTTAATACTAAAAATGCTGATAACCTGTCATTAATCAATGTTATATCTGAATGGCTTTTACCAAAAGAAGAGATAGGTTTTTATGCTCTCTGGTTTGGTTTCAATAGTGACTAATTTGGTACATGGTTGTCCTGGCTTACAAAGTCAGCCTTTGACCATGGACTAGAACTGAATCAAATACTCTATACTCCATACACTAATATTTCCCATCTTAAAATGGAACTCTCCTCTGGATGGGTGAGGGAATAGGAAAGGCCTTAGGATGCTAAAAACCTCTTATGCCATAATAGGAACACAGCAGATATTGTCTAAAATTATTGGATCCACTTATAGCAATATTTGGATATTATTTATAAACATGGAGTTATGTTCCAGAAGACACAGCTTAACAGTTGGAAATGGTTTCCTGTGGGGACCAGAGGGAAAAAGTGAGGTGAGAGACTATTGTCTGAAAGCTTTTTAGCACTACTTTCCTTTATGTGCCATATTATGATATTAAAAAAAAAAGAACAACAAAAAACCACCAACCCAATCAATTTCACATCTCCCTCCAGTAAGCATCTATCTCTCTCTATTCCTTTCATAGTCAATCCTCTTGGAAAAAAACTAAGAGTACCTGTTGACCTCTTATTCATCACTATGTTCTTAGTGCCTAGCAAGTGCCTGGTGAATAAATGAATGAATAAACTAACTAATCCATATCAGAACAATAACACTGGCCTATTCAGCACCTCGGACACAAACATAAAAGTTATTTCAAGGTGTCTATATTAAGGCACCTCCTTCCTTCTAAGCCAACCTGAGCCATAGGATAGGAAAAAAAAGTGACAGAGGTTTGGAGCAAAAGCTGACAAGTAATCCAATAAACTTAAATAACAGTAATAAATATATACTATACTACCATTACAGAATCACAGGGCAGAACTCAGAAATCAATTAGTCATGCCACCCTAAAGACGTTTAAATTCTATTCTATTCCCAAAAAGTGCTTTTTCATCCTCTACTTCAAAAACTGTAGGTACTAATATATTGATTTGATTGGCTGGCTGATTTCTTCATTCAAGTCATGCTTTTCAACTTCTGCCATGCCCTTAGCAGTATTGTAAGAACTATGAAAACAAGTTTCCTGCCAAAATTCTACCAGAAAGAGAAAGACAGTAATCAGGCGAGTCAACAAAGTAATTACAGAATTGTGATGGAGAGAGATGGCAGCTAGGGAAGAGAGAGTCAGCATGTTTTAAGAGAGCAGTCAGGGAAGACTAACATTTGAATTGAGACTAAAGAATGAGAACCCAAGGGAAAACTTCAGGAAGAGAAGTTTAGAAAGAGAACAGAATGTGCCAGGGCCCTAAGATACTAGATAAATTGTCATATTTACGGAACAAAAAGGTCAGTGTAATTAGGGTATAGTGAGTGAGGAAGAGAGCTACAAGGCAAAGCAGAAATCATACATGATTTGGTTAAGAGTCTGGATTTTGTTCTAAACACAATGGAAGCACTGGAGGATTTTAAACAAAGATGCATTATGTGATTAAAGTTTTGAAAAGAATACTCTGATTACAACAAGAAGAATGGACTATATGGAGGTAATGGTGGAAATATAAGTCTTAAGGTTGATTTAGAAACCCAGGCAAGAGATGAAGATGGTTTGGGCCAAGTTAGAAGAAATGGTCGTATTAGATAGATTTGAAACAGGATGACATCTACATTTATAAGTAACTGAAAGAAGTAACAAGAAACTTGGTGTTTATTATATCCTTACACAGTTATGACTGAAAAAAACTCTTCCTTATATTGAACTAAAATTCATCTCCAAATCATGTGTAACCCTTCGGGACAAAAGTCTAATTCCAGGTACAAGTGACAGCTCTTCAAGTGTTTGAAAATAACTACTATGTCTCTCAGCATCTCCACCAATTTCCTTAGCCAGTCCTCCTACAAATATGGTTTTGATCCCTTTACCATACAGGTCTTCTGATCACCAGTTTACAACAAAATGCTTGCGGGACAAGTACAGAGTTAAGAGATGACCAGAAAACGGCACATAAGCGGGCAAGAAAAAGGCACCAAGGCTGTGGACAGCTATATGCAAATCAGCCTGTGGTGGGGAACTCAAAAATCTCCTTGCAACCTGATCTCTATAGTTTATCCCATTTCAAATGTCACTACGTGAATCTACCTACACGATGGTTTAAGTGTATGAGACCCGCTCTGCAGACCCATCAGTTCTTTCTTGAACGTAGAATGTTTACAGAGCACCTAGCCTCGAAACAGTACGCTGGCTCTCAGTATAATGATGTCTTCAGGATCTTACACAACACGAAAGTTCTCTGGGTGCTTTAACTGAATACCCTTGGAGTGGACCCACTAACGACCCATCCCAAACCTTAGTTCGGATGTCACTCTAAACAGAACGGAGCTTGGCCAGGTCCAGAGGCACTCATGCAGCAGATAAGCTGCTTGGCTAGGAAGCTGCCTTCCTGTCCGATGGCAGAGGAGGCTCATCCCACACCAACCACCTGCGGGAAAGGACTGGGACCAGACGGCCTCACACGACCAAGAATGCGAGGAATAGAAAAAAGGAAACGTCCCCGGAGTCCAGGGAAGGCCCAGGAAGCCTCTCGGTGCCGGCACGGGGGTGTGGCTGCGGAGGGAGGCCGAGGCGGTCGACCTGGCTGGATTCCTTCAAGCCAGAGAGGCCAGCGGGGCCCACAGAGCCCTGGCCAGACTCCCAGCCCCCGGCCCGGGGTGGGTCTTGGGCAGCGAGGAGCCGTGCAGGTCGACGCTGCGCCAAGAGGTGCCCAGTCACCGGCCCTGACTCAGCTAAAAGCCGGCACGGCGGCGGCTCCCACCCAGCGCCAGCTACGGGCCGCACTCACCGGCTGAGGTGATCATGGCTGCGCCCCACACTCGCCTGTCCGCTCGCTCGCCGTTCCGGCCGCGCCGTGTATCTGTCAGCTCCGGGACCGCTCGCTCCGCCGCGCCTCCTCGCTCCCGGGTGCGCTGCTCAGTCAGTCGCCTCCTGAGGCCGCCGGCTCGCTTCTCACCCAGGACCCCGCCCGCCCCGGGGCTGCCCGCCGCCCCGCCTGCCACCCGGCACGAATTCTTCCCCGGCCTGCATCTCCCGCGTCGCGTACACCTCCCTGGCCCGCTCGGAAGGTTAAACAGAGAGCGCCATTGTTTTCTCTAACCCTCCTTGGAGTCAGAGCTCCCGCACAGTGGGGACACTAGTCTGCACCTGGCATCAGGCATCAGAATGGACACTCCTGCAAAGAGAGGACCCCACCATCACCCGCCATTGCTGAGAGAAAGGGTGCGACGGGGAGGTGCGAGCAGTGCGGGCAGTGCCACCTGCTGGGTGGGCGGTCTCACAGCAGCAACTCCCCCGCCCAACCCGCACCTTCCCGGCTCCAGCCAAGACTTTGGGAGTTGGAGGTAGGGCAAGGAGGTTTTCTTAGTAATGTGGCTTTCAATTTTTTTTCTAAGCATAGCCTGTCTTCAAAAGAGATACTCGAAGAGCTTTATTATCATAATGAATCCATACGTAATCACTGGTTTATTATAAAGTTGAACAATGAAGGTTTTTATTTATTTTGGAATAATGTACAGTATTATTAAAGTATTAAAATCTACAGTACTTAATGTTATGCTAAGTTACTAAATACTGTATTAAAATGTACAGTAGTAACTACTACATGTTTCACATGTTTCAAAAATCAGAAGAGTAAAAAGAAATATAGTGAAAGTCTTCCAAAGAGAATAAAAAAACCCCTGTCTTCCATGCTTTCCTTCCATCTGCCCAGTTCCTCTTTCCCCTCATAGCAATGGGTTCTTGGTTTCTAACACATCTTCAGAAATTTGAAATGGCAGTTGTGATTGCCATTTGCAGCCTTATACCAGCTTCAACAGCCAACTTACTTCAACAGTCAGTACTGAGAAAGTCTTGACAGAGATTAGTGGCAAACAGTAGCATTTTTTAAGCCACTAACCTTGTACTATCAAGCTGCTCTTCGATTGGACAGCGATGACTAAAGTATATTTCTGTGACCTTCTTAAAACAATCTACTCTAGGGGCACAAGACAATGTTTTGTGGTTGCCAACGAATTACATGTGGTTGATAACACATTTTAGTGTATGCGTGAATTTTTTAAAAAGTAGTGTTCTTAAACTATGGTTGTTAAAAATAGATTAGATATTATTATTAAACACTTTTGAAGAGCCTATGGCTCAGATTGAAAGGCACTGCCTGAGAAGGTGTGCATGAAAAATAAACAGATTGAGAGTTTGGGATATCATTCTACAGAGGCACTTCAATCTCTCACATAAAGACACATGTGTGCCCCAAACCCCTAGAGGAGTCACAGACAAATGCCAAGGGGCAATGGAAATGAGTGAAGCAGGCCTAGTGCAAGAAAATAAGTAGCTCCGCAGGATGGTGTCTTAGCATCAGGGAGGCAATATGGGGTGCTGGAGACTGTGACAAAATAGTGAGTGTCCCATCTAAAGAGCAGCTGCTACTCAGCTCCTTCAGTGTTGCCAAGCAAGAATGCAGGGCGAATGTTGTGAGAGCTTACGCTTTTTCCAAGAAAAGCCAGAAATCAGAATTTCATGCGACAACTTCAAAATTTTAAATGTTGGCAACAAATTAAAAATGCTTTTTACAACGGGTGGCAGCCACTGTGCTACCCCTGCTCTTTGAGGAGAAGGCATTCTGTATGGGAGGACAATCATGTCCCCAGCTTGGACGTTGTGCTTGTCATTGACACAACCCCATCTGAACCTAACATGACCCTGTGAGATGGGCAGGAAGGGAAGTGGCTTGGCCACAGCTGTCCTTCCTGGATGACAGCCCCATGCCGGTGCTTCTCCCGCTCCAGTGCATTCTGCACTCTTTAGCCAGAATGAGGTTTTTTTCCTTCTTCTTCTTCTTTTAGAGATGGGGTCTTGCCATGTTGCCCAGGCTGGCCTCAAACCCCTGGGCTCAAGCAATCCTCCTGCCTCAACCGCTAAAGCTGGGACTACAGGTGCATGCCATCACACCTGGCCAGAGCAATCTTTCCAAAACTCAACTCTGATCACTTCTGCTCCTTAAAACCTTCAGTCCCCATCTTGGGCTCTATTCTTAGGCTTCTTTTGTGTTTCTGTCCACAGCCTTCTCACTTGTGCTCCTTGTGAGGATGCAATGCCTTTGTCTGCTAGCGACAATGCGGTGGCGTCTAAAAAGTCCCCCTACAGCCCTTGCCCACTCTCCTGAGCACCAGACTCACAGCCCTCCCAGACATCTCTGCTTGGCTGCCTCAAAGCCTCCTTAAACTTCATGATCTTAAAGCTGCACGCGCTGTCCATCTCCCCACATTTGTGTCTCCTGCCTTGATCCTGGTGCGTGTGGGTGAAGGGCATCTGTCAGCTACTGAAGCAAAAACTTGGGTGGGAGGGTGACCTTGACCCTTCCCTTCCCCCTCACCCAGGCAGCGCCAGATCTTGTCCCCTTAGTCTCTCTCATCCCAGCCATCTCCCATCCCCACCCCATTACACAGCTGTCTCCCCTATTCTTTCCAGGCTGCAACAGCCTCGACTTCCTGCTTACCATCTCACACAGCTCCAGTCAGTTCTTCGCAGACAGACTGACAGACAGAAGCACCGTCAGAACCAACGGGAGCAGGACCCTCTCCTCCACTCCTCCACTCCTTCCACTGTCCTCGCGTCCCACCCCTCTGCTCTGTCATGCTGTACTCCGGCCATGCAGAACCCCTGCAGCTCCCAGAGTGGCCAGGCAGCCGCGGACCTTGTCTCTGACCCTGCTACCCGCTCTTCCCTCTGTTTCCAAGGCCCTGTCCCTCCCAGTCCTGGCCAACACCACTTGTCTTGAGTCCCAGCCAAGCAGCACCTCCTCCAGGAAGCCTTCCTTGGCCCACCTCACCATGTGCTCCCTGACAGCCTTTACCCCACACAGCTGTAACCACGTCTCCTTGCTAGAGTCCCAACAGGACAAGGAACTACTCAAAGGCAAGGCCACATCTTGAGTAGTTCCCGTCGCTATCCTCTATAGTAACTAGCACATTGTGGGGCACACAGTAGGTGTTCGATAAATGTTTGTTGGATGGATGGAGGAATGCCGGGTCAGGTAGTTATTGGCACAGGGCTGGAAGTCAGACCTATAGCACTGAACCCCCTGCCTTCTGCAAGACGCTCAAACCGTATTGTAGGACATAAAGAAATCACAGAAAATTCTTACGGAGTGCTCTGTTCATAAACATCTCCCTCCAAATTTAGGAGTGACACGAAACGTCTCAAAGCCCAGTCGAGGTCAGCGGTGGCCTCACACAGGTATCTGCCGGGCTCCGGGGCCAGTCAGGGTGAAGGAAGGAAACCGCGCCCCTGGCCAAGCGCTTTCCTTCCCGGTGCGGCCCCGCGACCCCGAGCAGCTCCTGCCGCGCCCGCTAGTGGGCGCAACGCTGCCCAGGCGGCGGAGAGAGGGGGCAGGGGGGCCCTGTGACCGCCCCCGCGCCCGGCCGCAGGCGTTCAGAGCCCTGGGTGTTAAACCGGCACTGTCCCACCGACAGTCGAGCCGGATCGCCTCTGAGCTGCACCGTGGTACGAGGGAAGGGCAGGCGTCGGAGCTCCGCCCCGCCCGGCCCGCCCGCTCCTGCAAAGCGCGTAGACCCGGCCAGGCCACGGAAGACCCGAGCAGCGAGCAGCGCTCAATAAACCGCAGATCTCACCGTGACTCATTTCCGAGCCTGGTGGCTGCTTCACGTACAACACGCATGCCGCATGTTTGCAGAGTAAAAGCATTTATTCGTGGGAGTAGAGATGTGGTACACAGCAGGGTGACACGGCCTCCCATGGGTTGGTGTGTGGTTAGAGGGAAACGCCTTGAGATGGCTGGAATTGATCTGGGTAGACTGAGGCACAGAAGGATCTGTGAAGCCATCAGAGGAACTGGGTTCCCTTCCCTAGAAGGATGGTGTCCAGGAGGGCAGCTCCTGTCTCAGGCAATGGGAGGCTGTCCAGAACAAGCTGACTGCTGGGAGCTACTGTCATCCTTTGCCCAAGGGGCTAGGATGACCAGCCAGTTCCCGGCAAGTGAGGACAGAGGGAGGAGAGGCAGCTGCCTCGGGAACCGCAATGAACCCCCCAGACAGCTCTCTAGCCGGCTTCCCCGTTCCAGACCAGTGCCGTCATCATGGTAGCCACGAGCCATAGGTGCTGTCGAGCGCTTGGAATGTGGCTAGTGCAACCCAGGATCTGAAATCTAAATTTTAATTTTAATTAATTGAAATTTGAAAATAGATATTCAGTTACTGGACAACTTTTAAGTATATCTGGAACAATTCGAGGATGTGAATATTCTTTTCCTTTTCTTTTTTTAAGAGACAGGATCTCCCTCTGCTGCCCAGGCGGCTGGAGTGCAGTAGCACAATCACAGCTCACTGCAGCCTTGAACTCCCAGGCTCAAGCAATCCTCCCCCATGCCTCCCCCAGTAGCTAAGACTACAGGCACGCCCAGCTCGAAGACGTGAATATCCTTACAGCTGTAAATTTAATGAAATCTAAGTACAGATAAAGTTTTTCTGGTGGAAATTTAATATCTGAATAGGGCTGTGGGTGTAAAGTCTTCACATGATTCAAAGATTTTTTTTTTTTTTT